ATATCAGTCCTGGACACTCGCTCGATTAGGAAAGCCAAAAGAGCGCAAGCAGAGCTGTATGCACCGGCGGAAAACGGCTGTGAATCGATGTTTGGTGTATCCGAAAGTGACATGTACACACACTTTCTGAGATGCAGATGGAGTCACCAGACATGAAGTAAGCGCACATACAAATATTATTAGATATTTTGGGAACTGTGTCGTGCTCGAGATAACTACTACGTCGAACATAAACGTCGTCGCTTATCAATACTTTTTTGTGGTGCACAACTGCATAATTGAATTAATCAAACAACTATCAGAGTTTGCATTCCAAATACTGGAATCTCCTTCAGGCAAGATTTATTAACATAGAGAATGTCGACTGGTCACAAGTACGGCATCAACCCTTACGTCATGTAAATAAATTACTAAAGTGCATCCAACACTGAGTGATTAAATAATATGTTCTGCACGCCTTTTGGCACCTATCCTTACACCCAGATTTTCTGGAAACGAGCTGTATTACACTTCTATTCTGATATTTACAAATTTGTCGTGGAGAACATTGCGTACACCCCATTATTCCGCAACTCGCGATAAAATTGCCACTTAACTCATATTACTAACCTGTGTATTTTGTTGCTAAAACTATTGTGTCTTGTTGGCAGTCCGACTGATAAATGCATTACCTATTATTCCAAAAACAGCTGAGGTATCTATTTATTTATCTTAGCACGAAGGGGAGAAAAACTTGAATTGCATTTATTAGTCTATAAATACCATGTGATAGGACCTGCTTTGATCTACCAAATCGAAAGAATATGCTTGCTTATGTGTCTGAAGCGATTATGAAACCATTACATGCATGTGTAAAGACCAGTCTGTCGCAGTTTGTTTGCCTATCTATATAATGACGTGCCCCCGCTTGGCTGAGCACTGAAAATTCATAATCTGTTCTAGAAAGGACTTAAACGGCATGTGACGTCTAATTGCCGACAGGCAGACCAAATTATATTTTTGTCAAAATTTCAGGAAGAGACCTTTGTAAAAACCGTTTGCTACTAAGGATTAACCAGCTGTAAGCATTCAAGCAAACGAGGAAAATGTATCGCAGCTAGGCCTTCCCAGTTGAATGAATCATGGATCCGTGCACCAGAAGTCGACCTAATACATGATTTGACTGAGTGTTGGCAAATAATAATTTTTAAGATGCTGGCACGAGCGAAAAGTTGATGGGAGGACGCGGGTTATTAAGTGAAGGTCGATAGATATGACTTAGGAGTTGGCAGAGATGTGAGTCCCCCAGAAAGCACTGTTTACATCCTTTTTTAGTTTTTTCGTTAACAGCGACCCCAGAGTGGTCTAAATTAGCAATAGACGCATGCTTTCCAACAGCACAACAATTTTCCAACTGACCATAAATAAGCCAAACAAATTCTATTGGTTAATGGCGCATCTCTGGAGGAGATTTTATGGTTAAAGCTTACAGGTAAGTTTGTGAGCAATAAAGAGGCATATATGCAGAAAGCACTTTCGCTTTCTGCATTGAAATTGCGACTTCTTTGCTAAACGATTTGCAAATAATTTTAACAAAATGCGTGAAGTGGTGCTGTAGAAGTTGTAAGTACTCAAATACATTGTCTATGCAAATGACTTAAGGAAATCGGTCTATGCCGTTGACATATTTTTCGCCAATCTGCGTTTAGCAATTAAGGTAACTTCTGAAGATGAAAGTTTTATTAAAAATAAAGAGCTATCTAATTAAACTATATGGCTGTAAAATGTTTCCTTGACAATATTTTGCAGAACCGATATATGTAACAAACGAATTTTATGAAATAAATTACTAAAATTCATACTTCTGTACCTTTTGCGGACACTGGAGAATAGCATTATTGTAGAGAACAATCATGAGCGGATGTTGATTACGCAGCACCCACTGAAAGTGATCAGACGTAAATATCGGAACAACAGTTTGCCGCAGTTTGTGGTCTATTTGCTATGCAGTAATAACAGTGTGTATCATACCAGCAGATATTGCCATCCATTTTACTCAGGACATATTATAATAAACGTTTAATTTATTAAACGTTCATATATTTTAGCCAATTGACGACACCAGTTTCCTGCGTGTCAGAAGCTCTTTTTTCCTACATAGATTTTGTAAGTTGGATCATTAATGGTAGAGGACTTTCCTGTTTATAACTTTTAAGAGCAACAAGTTACTCTCCAATTTCGGGTGAGGATAATTCCAGAAGTCTCACTTAATTTAATACATATGATTAGCTACTTAAGCAGTTTTAGTTAAAATACCTGTCCTGGACACTCGCGCGATTAGGAAAGCCAAGAGAGCGCAAGCAGAGTTGTATGCACCGGCGGAAAAACGAGTAGGAACCGATGTTTGGTGTATCCGGAGGTGACATGTTCACACTGTTTCCGAGATGCAGCCACTCGGTGGATTTAGAGGGTAAGGAAATTACAATCAGAAGCGAAAGGCCATAAAGTAGACCAAGTATTAATTCGCAGTACACGGACACTACAGTGAAACCGGACGTAGCTCAGATCCTCTCGAACAATGCTAGTGTAGAGCCTACCCAGCCACTCGCTGGATTATATGAATAACGTTTGTGCATGCTCTGTTTGGTAGAAATCTCGTAGGTAGATTAGTCGGCAGGATGGTAGTTCGTAGCCCTGCCCACTGATTCTACAATTGTACCTAATGGCTCGATTTCGGTATCTGTGATAACGTCCTCATTATGTCTGGGGGGTGCACGCACGGAGGCCTTGTCAGAATGACTTTTTTCTTCATTTTAATCGCCCCGAGAACAAGGCGCTGTAAGACTGTCTTTATAGACTCATTGTATTGTACCCCCACACGGAAATCTTTAGTCAAAGGCGAAATATTTATCCTAAATGGATTATGATTCATCATGCTTCCCACTATGCTTCTAGTTGCATGTGCGCATAGTATTATCTGCATCAGATTAATTGCCTAGGTACTATCCTAGGCGGATTGGCGCGGGTATCCGTTTCGTCGGATTGCCTGCATCCTTGGGTCTTTTTACTCCAGACCTCTAGTAGAGTCCGGTGCGATCGTGTACGTAAGGACAACCGAC